CAGGCATCGATCCTTGTATGCTGCACTTCATGCCATGCTGCTGCTGCTGCAGCATTTTCACATCCATTTCTCTTCCTTACCTGATTGCTACAGCAGTTTGTCTGCCCTGCGCTGCTGCCGCTCCCCTCCTGGTTACCCACACGTAATGACTGTTCTCCTCAGGCCCCTCAGAAATCGGTTATCTTCCCCTCCAGATGTGTTCTCGTCCCCTCTGATCAGCTAATCAATTATATCGTGGCGCGGTTGTGCCGTGCCTTTTTGACGCTAAGCTACCGCCTTCCCTTCGTGCTCCTTGCAGCTCCCAAAGTGGCACTGGCACCGCTCAACAGATTTAGCTGCAAAAGTATTTCTGCCCTGTCAGGTTCCTTGATGATCTGCGGGAACTTTCTGTGGCTCCTGTCAGTTTTAATCCCTCCCTGGAGAGCAATAATCAATGCCACTATTTCTGATGCCCCAAGCTCAGGTCGTTTCATTTGTTGCTTAAGGATTTTTGCTAGTGAAAAACCTCTCCCAATTACTTTCATGTTTTGTCATGCTCTCAACCCAGAGTATTTCTTAAATGCTGGAGGTGCTTAGCATCTGGTGTTGTTCTGAATAGGTGGGAAGGGTTCTTTGTTTAAACTCTTTGGCTTTTTGACTGCTACACAGCGGTGTGAAGGAGAGTGTATTTGCTCCAGGGGACCAGAGCATCAAGTGCCTTCTATTATATCTGCTCCAGAGGATTTCCTGAGAAGTGTTCAGCCTCCATTTCTGTCTGTAAGGAAATCCTCTTATCTGGGCAGAGCAATAAATAGTGCTGCCTCCTGTAATAGAAACAGAAAAACACATTCTTCACATTGCTGTTTCTAAAAATGTGGGGTTTAAAATACAACGTCTGGGATGATTCTTCTGTAATAAATTCACATAATAGCGTGGGATGTATACGTTTAACTAGCTGAACAGAGGTAAGGAGAGGGGGAGACGGTGTGTTAAAAGAGGGTTTAGCATGCATTTAGTAATGACAAGAACAGTAAATAATCCTACAGGTTTACAAACCTAATCCCCAGTGTCCGATTGTAGCCCGTGTGTCTAGTAGAGTTGATTGGAAAGTCATTAAAAGGCTGTGAAGAAAGGGCTTTTAGGGGGTTTTATTTGTAAATATTGGGGGAACTGGCTGGGTGCCTGATAGTTTCAATCAACTTCAAGTGTAGTTGATTTGGGACCTTGATGGAAAACTCTAGAAGTGCCTGTCCTGCTCAACTTGCCACAGAGATGTTAGGTACTTGCCACAGAGATACTAGGTGAGGATGGAGTAGGCTGCTCCTCACTGCCTCACTCTACACTGTTCCCAATAGCACTTTCATTTAAGAATTGGCTTGGGGGGTGTTGTTTTTAACACCCAGCTTATTTTTTCGTGTGCCCTGCATACAGCAGTTGTTTTTTCTTACCAGAAGAAATCCACATCTAAGAGCTGTGCCACGTGATGCTACTGCTTTTAAATAAGCTTTCAAGAGGTTGGACCAGATGTTGGCCACATCTGTGTTTTTATTTCGTCAAACATTTTGTTCTGGCCCTTTTATTAAAAGATAAAATGATAATTTAGAAATTGTTTTGAAAAGTTTAGCAGCTGGGAAGATCTTTCTGGTATATAAAAGAAGCAAAGGGTTTACTTTCTGTGTGCTGGAGTGAGCCGTGTAACATCAAGCAGACAGGTATTTGTGGCTGGTAGGTCTACTCATGTTGGAAATGATTGCCATGGAAATTTTGAGATCAAAATGGATGTATTTTGTTTTGAATTGGCATTCTGTAACAGAACACATACTTTTTTCCTCAGTGAAAGCATTAAACTAGGGATTCTGAAAAGCCCCTCGCGTTTAATGAATGCCTATCGCCTTGGCAGAAAAAGGACGACTTGCAGGCAGGGGGATATCCTGCAATTACTCCCTCTACTGCTGTTATGGGGTCTAAGAAATGCTTATTACATATAACTTGCTTCTGGATTCTTTGCTGCAATTTAACAGTTGGAGAATGAGCTTTCCATCCCCATGGCTAATTAATCCAATGAGAAAAACTGGCACCTAATTCAGTAACAACTTACATTTAAAATGACATGTGAAATTGTCCATGGTGCCTGAAATTACATCATTTTCAGTCTGGCATATTAGGGCTGTGTAAGTGAACAGACACCTACTGTACTATGACATACTAAATTTTAACCCTCTGATCCAAAAATATAGCAGGGTACAGGAGGAGTGAGGTGTTTAATGATGAATAAAAGCAGTGGTGGCTTGATTTTGGTGGGATTTTTTTATTGTTCTTAAGATGCTGTGGCAGTTTTTACAACAAATAATTTTGGGATGAAATTTTATGTAGTGTTGAGCAGTGACATGAGTATTTCTGTCACCACTTCCAAATTATTTTCTAGCCCACAATTTTCAGAAGTTACTGATGATTTTTGAGGTTGGCTGCCTTTTCTTTGTCCCCAGTTCCAAGTCTATGTAGATAATCAACATTTAAATTTATCTGGTACAATGAATATGGAAAAAAAAAAAAGACTCCTTTATATGCTCAGATAAACCAAATTTAAAGTTGTGGGGTTTTTTTACCAAAAATCTTTGAGGAAACAAAAGGTAGATAACACAAAGAAGGGGAAGGTCATCCCCTCTTCTGTCCTGCAACTTGGTGGTTAAAGTGCTTTACCCAGAATGTGGGAGATAATGTTCAAGACCCGTTTCTGCAGAAATACCTTATGACCTAGGAGACAGGTTATTCTGGCCTGGGCACACTCTTGCACTCTGCTGTAGAGCTGTTTTATTTTGTGTAATGAAACATTTCTTGGAGCGAGGTATACAATCTCCTGGGAAGGCATCTCAGATCCTAGACTACAGTATTTACTCCTTTTCTTGGTGAATATTTAAGCGTTTTGCTCACTGGGAATTTATACTCTTGTTTCAGCAGAAGGTATTTTGCAGAATACGTTGGACTCCCAGGGGTGATGCAGCACACAGTGATTCGTCTGTATGCTTTACATGATTATGGATTGCTAAAAAATTCCAGTGAGTTACATTAAAGAGGCAGCAAACCACTGGGACGTATTGTGTCACTTTGCTTTTCCTCTGCAGTCTCGAGCTAGGGTGTGCTTTGCCATGCCCTTGGGTCGTATCCCTGCCTGCATGGTAGCAGGGTGCCTGCAAGAGGAGGTAGTTGGTACAGAAGTTCTGCTCTTGTGGCACTGTATAGAGATCAGACCAGAAGTAAAGCATATGTACTGAACAATTATATAGTAGTTATAAAATCTTTCATACTTTTGAAGTATTTTGGGACCAAAAGTTTGTAAAGTGGATCTGGTGCCTGGGACTGTAGCACAGTTAATTTTTAAATGTAACAGCAATGAGAAATGTTCCTTGAGGCCTGTTCAGTCATATTAGCATCACATTGTCTGAATTAGTAAAATTGATATAATGAAAAAAATACCAGAAAAATAACAAAGCATGGTGTTACACTGTTCCTTGTGACAGGACATTTTCTTTGAGGTGAAACCCATTTCACGTATGACTTGGCATGGAAAGTTTAAAACTTTCTGTTGGTTGTTTAAGGTGGATTTTGAAAAGACATCTCGTACTGATAAATGTTTTTTGAGTTGAGCAGCCAGACCCTTTGCACCACCTCAAGAAGCGCAGTGTTTATTCCTAACCAGTTGTTTTGATTGGATTCCTGACCCTGTGGTTTCATGTACTTTAGGCAACTGGTTTAAATGCCTGAGTTTTGCAAAGAAAAGCTTCATTTGTGTCTTTTGGGAATACTCATAATTCCTACCTTTGCTTGTCTCCACCATTTGGTTGCCATAACCTGATGCTGGATCGAAGAGCTGCAGCTGCCTTCCCTCTCCACCGGTCCAGAGCTGCACTGCTCAGGAGCTTTGGTCCGCAGGAAAGCACCAGACTGGGGATTCAAACCGCTCAAAGGTCTTTGTTTATGGGGAGGCAAATCCTCAGGACTGCGATTCAGGAACTGTGAGGATGCCATGCTGTTCTGCGCCAGTTTGGATTTAATTTGTTATTGCAGATCGTTGAAACTGGATTTATTTTTTCTGCAAGTAAACTGATTAGGTCATCTCTTGTCTAGTCATGATTAGATGCAATGGAGAAGACCAAGAAGGTTGCTTCATTCCTGAGCATAAATCTTTGCGAATAATTTGTTTTGTTCTCTACCTGGACTAGATTAACACTGTATTACTACTGTGTATTAAGGTGATGTGGAAAATCAGGTTTTACTGCTATACACTGTGCCAGTCACAAATTAGGTCTCAGTTCTGTGTTGTTGTGCTTTTTAATGCACAGAATATTTAACAAATGGTTTTCAGAAGATGTCTTAATAAATGCAAAGCTAGAAAAATTACAGTGAAAGTGTAATTACAGAAAGTAATTATTGTTTAACATTTGTCTAGCCCTTTCCATAGCTTTTAGATTTATTTTAAAATTTGGAAATGTTTTAATAATTCCCATTTTACAGATAGAAAAACTAATGCACATCTTTTTAAGAACTGGTGTGAGCTAAGTGGTTCAAATGATGATAGATCAGAATTAAGACCAAAGCAATGCATGGTCCATGCTGTTTCCTTGAAAACAGAAAATATTTTCTAAGTCATAATTTACGGATAAATTGTTGACTTGTAGGCTCAGACAGATGAAAGAAAAATAGTCATCTTTTAAAAATGGTTTCCCTAGCTTCCTCCTGAACATTTGTGCCTGTAAATTAAAATGGGGGGAAAAAAGGCAAGTCGAAGTGTCTGACAGATCTTTGGTACTGAAAAAGACTGCTGATTCCTGAATTCTAAATGGATTTGTGCGTGCGTGTACCCCAGACTGAAAATACTCAGCAACAAATTAAAACTCCTGGATTAATGCAAAAGGATGCAAATATCTGAAGGGCAATTGCTAAGTGTTACTTTAGCACAGAACTTGAATTGTGAGAGATTTTGAGCAAACATCTGTCTGATTAAAATGTGTTCTTTTCTGTAGGTGAGAATACAGGAGATGGTGAATTAGATCTGAGCGGGATCGATGACAATGAAATAGATCGGGTAAGGTGCCCTCTTGTCCTGGGTGTCTCTGGAGTTGGATATCCCAGAAAGACAAAATGATTTTTATCTGGTTTATCCTCTACCCTCACTGTCTCTTCACTCTGATCTGTAGGGAGGTTAGAGTGATTTCAGTGGTCTGAGATCAAAAGTAATGTTCGCACAAGCCTGTGATGTTTCTGTTCTTTGCCCAAGTTATGTTTTAGAATATCCTTTATTCTGAAGAAGGACTTTTAGAAGTCTTTGTTGGAGCTCTAAATTCATTATTTAGTTAAGATATATTCAGTATAGAAAGCTGCTATGGAAACCACACTGTAAGACCAGCATGTACAGCTTCTGTGTTCTTTTAAAGACTTCTGTAACACTTTCTGGATTTATTATTATTTGTATGGCAGCGAAAAATACCCTTTACCTCATAGCCTGAATATAACAGATAAACAGGTGTGGAAAATGGCTTGTTGAAGGCCACAGAGCAGGTCACTGCTTGAACATGTCACAAGGTCTGGCATTTCTGACTCTGAGCCTGATACCCTCTCCAGCTGCCACCCTGGTTTAAAGTGTAATTTGGACAGATAATGCCAAAAAAATCCTTTTGGGGTACAAAGTCATTGAGAGTGATGAGGTTGCATAGGGGTTACTGATCTGCAGAACGTTGTTGGCAGTGGATGAATGCTCAGCTTGACTTCAGCTGTGAAGCAGGTTTTGCTAGGCTGGGCGTTAGGAAGGGTCTTGTGAATTGAGCAGATGTGGTATGGAGGGAGCGGGGAGGCTGAATGTTTTCAGTATAGCTGGTCCCTAATTTAAACAATCGTGGGGGAAGAACAAGCATGTTTTTTCCTCCTCCCAGGCTCTGTGCTGAGGCCATAACTCTGATTTTAAGACCTCGTGTTCATTTCTGTGGCAATAGACTGTAATATTGTAAGCACAAGATTATGAACTCTAAAAGCTTAAGAAGGATGAACTGTGCTAAGAGAAAGTGAGTTTTGCTATTATGGCTTCTAATAGAAGCAGATGAAAGAGTGAAAATACTGGTCTGATAAACCAGGACTTGCACAGCTGTTTGCTTGCCTCACTTGCCCTCAGAGGAGGGACTCCTCCCTATATTAGCTTCATTTGGCTGGAGATACTTTTTCGTCATAAAATCCTTTATGTACATTTTACTTCGGCGAAAATCTCAAATGCTCAAACCCCTAAGATGGTGGAGAAATCTCAAATTGCTTTACAAGTCTTGGGTCTGCTGCTTAAAAATAAAGTCAGGTTCATGATCAATGACCCAATTTGTCTTCTCCATTCTGCAGACGTTCTTCACTGACAAACAGCATTGGCTGTAGAGAACTTTTGTTTCACAGACAGTTGTGCTAAATGCTGGGTTTATTTTTACATTTAAGTAGTTGGGAGGAGATCTGTCTACCAACCTGCCAGCCTGCCTGCTACCTACCTGTTTATTTCTGTAATTCATCTGTGTAAATCTAGATGAGTTTTACAGCTCCATACCTACTAATGTTACCAAGACTTAAGTGGAGTTAATTGTAAAAAGCCTGGGTGTGGTTACTGAACCCAACGCTCTAAAATCTAGGGGACTAAACCTCTAGCAATCTAAGATGGTTTCATGCACACAGATGCACTCAGTGCACTAATAATCTCAATAACTGTGTCTAAACCTTCACAGAAACCTATCCAGAAGACACATGTTTCTGTTTTGGTGGCACAGGCCAATGGTTCCCCTACTGTTTTGAATTACAGACCACCATCAACATACAGAATTACTTGCAGACCACCACATTGTCATGGTGCCCTCTAAAACCATCTGGAAAAGATCATAAATTTGGGATCATTTTGGGTTAATTACAGACAGTGTACAATGAGTCTTGAATGGTTTTTGGTCACCCCAGCATACTTTGGAAACCAAGCACTGTTTTTTGAAAACATGTCGTTTTTGCCAACTTTAGAATTTACTAGAAATGCTCTATGATTGTCACATCTGCCATGTTTTCTTTTATTAATGTATTTTTAAAAACAAAATGTGAATTGACCTTGCCAGTGGTTTTTCAGTTCGGTTTTGCTATACAGTTTTCAAGTTTATGTCTGAAAGTAGATAAACTTGTTTTGTCTTTTAGTATATACTTAACGAAACAGAAGCTCAGATAAAAGCAGAGCTGTGGATGAAAGAAAATGCAGATTATTTGAAGGAACAAAAAGGTAAGTATTAGGACTGAAATTCTCCTTTTGGCTAGTGTTACTGAAATATGCAGTCTCTGTAATCTTCATACTGGTTACCCTTTTGTCATCTTTCAGAAAAGGAAGCAAGAATAGCAAAAGAGAAAGAACTTGGGATTTATAAGGAACACAAGGTATTAAACTGTGTGCTAATTGTGTCTGTTTGAAAATGTCCTGGAAATTCATTACATTTGCTGATTAACTCCATGTAGGATGTATGGGCATATTGGTACAGGTCACCACTAAGCGAGCAAAAGCTAGTGTATCTCTACCTGTAATTGAATTACGAGGCTATAACTTTTCAGGTGGTGAGTAAAACTCTTTCTTGCCCAAACTTTTATTTTAGATTACTATTATGAGAAAATTCTGTGCATGGCAAAGTCAGAGCTAGCTCTTTGCATTTGTGATTGCTGTCGTAATTGCTTGCTTATTTAAATGCAGGTTTTAAGACATGCCTAATTTTTTTTTTTTTAACATGCATGGGGAATTTGTTTGTACTTGCCATAACTTCAGTAGCTTTCTTTGCTCTTACAATAATGATTTCTTTATGAAGAACTGAACAGATCCTTGTTACAGTCACTTGAAGGAGTATTTTGTTCTACCTTTCATAAAGAATGCGACAGTTATGTTAACAAATGGCATGGCCTGTCTCCATGTTTAGCAGTTTAAAGCAGCCTAATTGGCTGTATATTCACAATTTACAGCATTAGTATTTTGTGTAATTGAGCAAGTGACAAGTCAAATCTTCCACATGCAACTAAAATCCATGTTAGTTTTTAGTGCATATGTATCCTTTTTTTTTCCCCCTGACTAATGCAAAAGACAGAGTTTCCTACTTCCCCTAGGTATTTCAACAATAAAAACAAAACCAGACAATGAAACACTGTTTTATGCTTCAGAGTTTCTCATTCATCCTGTGCTTACACAGACATGGCAGTCTACCAGCAATTTTCAAAATTGTATAACTCGTTGGCACCACCAAGTATCCCAGACGCCCACTTTTTTGTTTGGACAACACAGGAGTTTTTCTCAAACTCTGTATTGTTTCTGACAGCTCGAGTAGAACTTGATTAATATAGTGCTTTCCAATTTCAAGGTAGCACTTGACCTTTGTAGGTAAACAGAGTGGCTATTAGCCGTTAAAAAATAATTCTCCTGCAGAGCTTGGTGTTAAAACATTCCTTTGAAAAGGAAAATTCCAAATGGAAACAGAAATTTTGGGGTTTTTTTTCATACCTACCCAGGCATGAGGCATGGCTAGAGATCTTCTCTGTTGTTTGGCTCTGCACATCATCAACCTCCAAAGCACAATGCTGGGCTTGGGCTTGCAGCATTTGCCTGGGAAGGGCAGTTGCAGTTTACATTGCTGCTCTGTGTGTGTGTCTGCAGCCTCCTGCTTCCTGTCCGTTGGCATTAATGCCAGTCCATGCATAGAAAGCTGCTGCTAATATTCTTGGCCTTTTTCAGTGTGGAGGAGGAGTTGGTAGATGCTCTTCCAGGCCATATTCAGACTTGATATAAAATACCGTTGCAGTTTTGGTACAGAGTTGTCAGTGCTTAGGGGAGTCATAATCCAGCTGTACAGCAATTTTAGCTGGGGAATTTCTTTATTTCCACTCTGGGTGATGTTACAGGGTCCCTATTCTTTTTTTTGTGTGTGTGAGAAATGGCCCATGTCTCTTCCGTGGCAGCATTACAAATACTAAGTAAAGAATTTGTAATAAACTGTGGGCATTTGGCAAAAAGCAAACACACTTATCTCTTGGGGGAAAAAGACCTCCTGGTCCCTTTGAGTGGCTGGAGAGGGAGCGCTGGCTTATCCCAGCTGCATCGCCTGCATCCCCACACCAGCAGCACCTGAGCCAGGACTGCTGAACTGCAGCTCGCCCTTCTGCTTCGTGGAAACTTTGTTTGTATCTACATCACTAATTTTATATTTTAATTAAGCCAAAGAAATCGTCAAAGAAGCGGGAGCCAATTCAAGCCAGCACAGCAGGAGAGGCAATTGAAAAGATGTTAGAACAGAAGAAAATCTCAAGTAAAATTAATTATAATGTGCTAAGGGACCTGAACAGCAAAGGAAGTAACACACCAAAGAAAGAGGATGACAGCACTGATGACAGCACCAACACCAAGAAGCTGTCAAGAAGAAAATCTATTGCCAGTAGGAATATAGCCAACCCTGTAAACAGTGTGGGAAAAAGGTACTGCAATTGTTCATTTATATCTCTGTCTGTGAGACTGTCTGTGTATCTTTCTGAGACAGACAATGTAGGGACTGAAACATTTGTTTGAGGCTAAAATAATGTCAAGGCTCTGTTTTTATTTATTTTGCCTGCAGTGTCACAGCAGCACTTTATTTATAGTTCACGTGTCAAAGGTTTGCTTTGGTGTGAGTTAATCATCCTGAAGCCAAAAAAAAAGAATCAGTGGAAATTCATAGACGTGAATCTTTCAGCTAGGGACACGTTTTCTTCATATAATCCTGACATTCACTGTCCTTCCTTTCTAAGTTGTCTGTATCAGCTGACACAATGCTAAATATTTGAAAGCTTTGGCTTTTTGCTTGATTTGAAAAATATAATTCCCATCTGTTTTGACAGCTAGCTGTTTTGATTAGCTTTTATTTCAGTTTTATTCCAAACTTTTGTTGTTAATTGATGACACAAATATAAAGCTTTACAGTAAATACGCTTGTCGGTTTTCTGGTCTGCATTTACAAATGTTTTATAGTGTGGTGAAAGCTCCTACTTAAATGAGTAAAATTCTCAACTTGCTGGGCAGATTTGTAGTGTGCTAGAAAGTGTATAAGGAGATTGATATGTCCTATCTGCAATATTAATTTTATTTGTCTTCACTTTGTGAAATTATGTTGGATGATCATTTGAATCTTGTCTATGTATGGTAATTTCTTACTTAGATGTTACTTATTTATTTACTTACTGCCTAAAAGACATAGTTTTTTGCTTCCAGAAGTGTAGGCCAAACACCACAAGGAAATTTAGGAATTTAATTCTGACATGTAAGATGATGTCTTTGCACTGTAGTTCAGATGTAGGCATGTGTTGCAGTCAGGTAAAGGACCAGGGAGGGCAGCCAGCCAGCCAGAAGGTGCGAGAAATCATCTACTACTGCAAGGACAGTAGTAGATGTCCTTCTAAGACAGGCTTAGAATACTTGAAAATGTGAAGCTGGGAGCAATGGTAGGTGCCTATCTCTGAGAAGCTAAGCAAAATAAGGATGACTAAGCTTAACCCCTTATTTTGACTTCATTTGACAGCGAAGCCAGTGGCATGGTCAGCCGAAATTGAAGACCATGCCACTGCTCCTGCTGTCACTGGGATACAGTTTTTTGCAGAGTACCAAACATACTTTCTTTCTTTGCTATACCTTCTTTATTCTGTATTTTACCAAGACGGCTTCATCCTTGTTCAACTTCTCACAGCTTTGCCTTCCAGTTCTTCTTTAGAGCTAATTTGCTACTTAAAGTGATGTCTGACGACCCAAGCATGGAAGTTTTCCACTGGTGAAGGAAAGTGAAGATGCATTGAGAATTAAGTAAAAGCATCTAGCCTATGCTTTAAACAGTCGTACTTCTGGTATTTTTAGTAAAACATGGACAATTCAGTTGTCTGAAAAGCAGTGCTGCGGTGGGAGGTAGGGGCTGGTTAGGATCCTGGTTTCATTTGAGAGCTCAGTGGTAAGAGCCATGCTTGAGCAGCTTCGCTACATCTGAACCTTGTCACTCCTGAGATTTGCAGAAATGTTGGGAACTTGCAACTCCTGTTGCAAGTCCTGTTGAAGTCAGCATGTTAAATTCTTAACAGGTGTTAAACTCTTTGGAAAATCATGCCATAAATATTAAATTTAACAGTGGTGCAACTTGAAAAGGTTTCTAAATAAACACAAATCAGTATTTTCCAAAAGCAGCTAATAAAACATGGTTATTTTTCCTCTTGAGAGCCTAAAGTACATCCTTAAGATGCATAACAGAGTTTCCTGATGATGATTAGCAGATCTCAGATACAATGAATTTTGCAACAGAACACTTCAGAGAGGGTTGGGGATGCATGCAGATATGTGAGTTAAGAAGATTCTGCACTCCCCAAGTAGACAGTGCTTGCTTAAATAATATCAAGGACTTAGCAAACCATTACTTGGGCTTTTTTTTTCCTTACAATTAAAGATTTATGACATACTTTTGATTTTTTTGCTAGTAGTGTAAATGCCATGCCTTTTAAATGGCATGCATAAATTTTTGTGTTCTGCATTGTTCTTATATGCCACGCATTCATTGCCTTTGTTCAGCATTGTTCCTCTGAGAGGTGAATGGCTAAATACTTTCCCAGTGATACAAAAATCATGGTAATTTATATGCAATTAATAATAGTAAAACCCCTGAACATTGCTCGTTAGAAAATGAATGAAGCACATAATGTATCTTTATCCAGGAGGCATTTGCAGAGATCATACAAACATTTTGGTTTGCAGTGATTTATAGTCCTGTGTGTTTATCTTTGTATGTCTTAAACATTTAGTAAGCTGCGTTTGACTGCAGTAGGACCTTGAATAACCATGCTTTGATCTGGTCCTTTAGTTCATCTAAGTAATAGTCAATTTTTAAAGAGCTACTGATTTAGCCCTAATCTTAATTACAAGGTACCAGTACTAAGTTACAGGGAACTTCACAGGCTAGGAAAGGGATAGTCATTCTTGGTGGTTAAAGCAGCAGTCCTGTAAAGGTATAAAAAAGTAAATTTTTTTTTTATTTTTTTCTTTTTTTTAGTAAATAAATATCTTTATCACCTTCCTTTTGCAAGCCAAAATTTTATATACCTCACCAGGTTTGGACAGATGACGCAGCCAAGTTTGTTATTTGTTTAGAAATCATCTTCATATACAGTATGTAGCAACCTGGAAATAGGAAGTTGACCTTCATCTCCATCTTTCTGATTGCCCCTTGTTATAAAATACACTAGGCTGTTACTTCCTCATAGAGAGCTTCAGATTATCTCTAAAAAAATGGCTATCCCCAGCCAGACATGGTGCAATCAATCTCTGCGTGGCTTTTCTTTTTTTAACATAAGATAAAGTATCAGTTACAGTGTTAATCAGTTCAATATTGGAAAAGTTTTGTTTACTGATGTGATAATAATAAGCAAATTTTACAGTCTTGTAAAAAGTTGTTGATTAGCAAGAAATTTAAAAAGAGCTGGAAAGCTAGGCATGGTCCCGGGAGCATGCTTAAATTGGATATTCTTTCAGTTGGTGGTCCTTTTAATGTCACTTTATTGCTACCGTAATCACTTAATGGTTAGTTGGAGTCCACGAGGATACAGTTTATCATGTTATTTCATGTAAAATCCTAATTTTTTAATCTTGGAAATGGTTGGTATTTTCTGATATTTTGTAAGGAAGGTACTTTCAAAGAATTATTTCAAAGATCGTGTGGATTTCTCCTTTTTAGATGAGCAGACATTGTATACATCAGTATTTTCAGAAGCCAGCTAGATTTTTTAACAGGTTTCTTTACCACAAATGCTGTGCAACTTTTTGTGTCTTAGCAGAAGATGCTTTTCTCAGACACATCTCCCAGAATTATACTGGGGTTTTACTTATTGTATCTGTCAAGATGGTAGAAGACTAGTAATGACAATGTAAGTCATTTTAGGAACTTTTCTATTGTGCAAATGTATTTTATTACATTTCTTAATGCATTTTTGTTCCAGTGGGTATCACGATTGGTGCTTCATATGCAAAAGCTGTTTCATTCTCTGTGCGTTCAAGATGTTGCATAGTGGATGTTACCATAATAGATGTTGCAACTTTAATTTCAATTACCAGTTGCAGAGTTTATCTTCACTAATGTCTTCTGTGCATATGAAGCATAAGAATAATAGGTTGAACTCCTACAAAAGAACAAGTACCGCTTCGAGCTACTTAAAACCTGAACTCCAGTTACAGCTCTGCATGTGCTGCAGCTCTTCAAGACAAGTAAAGAGGGGTTTTTAGGACTGGAAGCTTTTGGTTAGAAGCTTAATAATTTAAGTTATATTTACTTGAGCTGAACCTTATATCATGACTTGTGAAGCAAAATGTGTTGTACCAAGAAAATGTGGGAACAAGAAAGCTTTCAAGCCACTACTTTTTAAAAATTTTAAGCCTATTTATTGCTATGTGCTTGAAATTGGTAATGATATCAGAAAAGACAGGATATATTATAAGGGGAGTAAATGTGTCAGGTTAATCTCCTGAAGAATTTGCCTTGGAAGAAATGAAGCAGGACTGCGAAGCACAGCTGAATCCATTGTAATGAAACAAGGTTGTTCTGAATGGAAGCATATGAATATATAATAGAAAACCAAATCATGCCTGCTATGAAAGTGACAAAAGCCCTTGGTAGAGATCTCAGATTTTATTAGATTTGGAAATTTACCTCCAAATCCTCTCCACAGTCTCACTTGTTTTTATTGACTACCCATTTTGCTGGCACATGGCTCCACCTGTGCTTTGGAGCCATGGGATATGCAAACCATTTGCTTGCAGTACCGGGGACTTGTTCTGCTGCTCAGGTTCCTGCCCCAAGATGCACACTTTCAATTAGCATCTGCTCCGGCTGCATTTTTGTTGGCTTTTCAGTGGATGTCATGTACCCAGAAAAATCCCCTTTATTATAACAGAGAATGTATGTAAATACTTTTCTACAGCCTAGCATTCGGCATCTTGTTTAACATGGTAAATTACTTGGTACTTGGTTCTGATTGGAATCATGTTCTCCTGGGGGGGGGTATGATATGGGTAGAAGCATAATTTAGGTGGTTTGGATGAGCCTGATGATCGATTCCATGCTGCAGAGGGAGCCTGGGTAGATGGAGTTGTCTCCCTGCTGCAAGGCAGTATGAGCACTGCCCCAGTGCAACCAGGTGTAACCCTCATCTACAGTTGTCCCTTTCTGGTGTCTGGGATGGAAATATTATGCTGTAAGGTGGAAGTCAGTTTTGATCTCGTTGGCTTTGCCACATTATTTTTGGTAATGCTGTGGGAGGAAGGGGGCATGGGGTTCTCTTTATCACACCTAGCCTGAAAACTTTGTCTTCACTTGTTGATACTGTAGATGTCCAGCAGTATCTGTATTTCTTTCTCCTGGGGAATGAGGAGGGAAGAAGCCCCAACCACCTTTTACCCTCACATCCAGGATCGATGA